TCAACATCACTGCCCGCAATGTGCTTATCTCAATTGATCTGGATTTCTCTGCCATGCCTCCCCCAAACTCCCACTGCACGCGGGGCGGAACCAGTTTTGAATGAACCCTCCTGGGGCCTTTGGGGAAAGGGATCCAGCCTTGATTGTTTTTTCTTTTTTCTTTTTTTTGGGGGAAGGGGTCACACCCGGTGATGCTCAGGGGTTACTCCTGGCTCTGCATTCAGGAATTGCTCCTGACTGTGCTCGGAGGACCATATGGGATGCTGGGAATCGAACCCGGGTGGGCTGTGTGCAAGGCAAATGCCCTACCTGCTGTGCTATCACTCTAGATCCTGTTTTTTTTTTTCTATTTTGGCACCTATTTAATTTTGTGTTCTAATTTGTCCATTTTCTTCTAGGGTAAATTTGAAAGGGTCGATATTGGTAAGATCTATTTTCCCAAGACATAGCCAGGAATTTGGAAAATGGTGTGAAAATGGTGTGAGATCACACATGTTAATTGCATATAATTTCTGATAAGTAATATAAATTCTTATTTTTTAGATCTATCTACATTCTCCCCTTTTCTTCCTTTTTCCCCTGATTTTTGGGTCATTCCTGGCCATGCTCAGGGCTTACTCCTGACTCTGTGTTCAGGCAGAATTTCTTTTTGTCTGATATCTAGTATGTTTTCTGTTTGTTTCCCATTACGATCTATTTAAGCTTTTTCCTTCTTTAGCTACGTTTATATTTGGTTTCATTGATTGACTTTTTAAAGTCATCTTTTTTAAATTATTAGTAATAAATTTAATGTTTCTTTTTGTTTGTTTTGACTCAGTACTTAGGAATTGCTCCTGGAGGCTTACAGGAGACCATCTGGGGTTTTGGGGATCCAACCTGGGTTGGCTTTATCCACTATGTATCTCTCTAGCCCCAGTGATAAATTAAGTGTTAAATAAATTTGATGTTTTCTACTTGCCTTTTTTTTTTTTTTGCTTTTTGGGTCACACCTGGCAATGCACAGGGGTTACTCCTGGCTCATGCACTCACGAATTACTCCTGGCGGTGCTCAGGGGACCATATGGGATGCCGGGAATCGAACCTGGGTCGGCTGCGTGCAAGGCAAACGCCCTACCCACTGTGCTATCGCTCCAGCCCTACTTGCCCATTTTTTAAAAACTCATTTCTTTTTTTTTTTTTACATCCAGTGTTTGAATTACTGTTTTCTCTTGCCACTTTCTTGTGTTTTTTTTTTTTTTAATTTTTCTTTTTGGGTCACACCCAGCAATGCTCAGGAGTTACTCCTGTCTCTGTACTCAGGAATTACTCCTGGTGGTGCTTGGGGGACCATATGGGATGCCGGGGATTGAACCGGGGTCGGCTGTGAGCAAGGCAAACGCCCTACCCACTGTACTATCGCTTGGGCCTCTCTCGTGTTTTTCTAGTATTTGCTTTACTTTTTCTTTCATGACTTGTTAGTTTTGCTTTCTTGGGGGGAGGGGTGTGGGAGGCACTCCAAGTGGTGCTCCTGGCTCTGCATTCAGGGCTCACCCCTGGTAGACCTTGGCGACCAGATGCCAGGTAAGCATCTTATCACTGTAGTCCAGTGCCTGGGCATGGCATTCTGGGGTTTACTTTTTACATTTTTTTCCTGCTTTTTGGGTCACACCCAGACACCCAGTGATGCACAGGGGTTACTCCTGGTTTATGCGCTCAGGAATTATCCTGGCCGTGCTCGGGGAACCATATGGGATGCTGGGAATCGAACCTGGGTCAGGTCGCGTGCAAGGCAAACGCCCTACCTGCTGTGCTATCACTCCAGCCCCACTTTTTATGTTTTTATCGTATTTTGCTACCGAGAGTATTCGATATGCCAGACACAGTAACAACAAAGTCTCCAATGGAGACGTTACTGGGCCCGCTCGAGCAAATCGACGCTCAACGGGAGGGCCTTTACTTTACTTTACTACTATTTTTTGGGGGGCCACACCTGTCTGTGCTCAGGATTTACTCCTGGTTCTGCATTCAGGGATCCCTCCTGGAGGGGCTCAGGGCATCGTTTGGGGGGCCAGGAATGGAACCCAGGTCAGCTGCATGTGAGGCAAACGCCTTCCCTGCCTCACTCCGGCTCCAGCTTTCTGGGTTTTAAACATTTCTCTTTGCAGACTGGAGAAATAGGTCACCAGGCTGGAGGAGGCCCGCTTGAGACCGTCCTCACCCCCAGCGCCTGGGAAGGAAGGTCTTGGCCCTGCTGTTGCCCATGAAAAATCTGCTTTCAGTCTGTCGTCAGTGACCAGTTTCCCTTTTCTTTGGTTTTTGTTTGTTTGTTTAATTTTTTTGGAGTGACAGCACAGCGGGTAGGGCGTTTGCCTTGCACGCAGCAGACCAAGGTTTGATTCCTCCGTCCCTCTCAGAGAGCCCAGCAAGCTACGGAGAGTATCCTGCCCGCACGGCAGAGCCTGGCCAGCTTCCCAAATTTTTTTTTTTCCAAAAACATTTTGCCAAAAATAGTAACAACAAGTCTCACAATGGAGATGTTACTGGTGCCCGCTTGAGCAAATCCATGAACAAGGGAAGGACAGTGCTACAGTGTTTACTTTTTGGTCCCACCTGGGGATGCTCAAGGTTTACTCCAGCACTCAGGGATCACTACTTCCGGCTGTGCTGAGGAACATATGGGATTCAGGGAATCAAACCTGGGTCAGCCTTGTGCAAAGCAAACGTCCTCCCTGTTGTACTATTGCTCTGGCCCCTCCCTTTTCTTCCGGTCCCATTCAATACTTTCTCTTTCCAGCTGCCTGTGTCCTGAGAGTTGGAGTGTGTGTGTGTGTGTGTGTGTGTGTGTGTGTGTGTGTGTGTGTGTCTGTTGGTGGTTCTCTTGACAAAAAATGTCTCTGTCCCCGCACTCAGCGCTCAGAAGCCCCCCCTTTTTTATCATTTCATTAATATTTTATTTTTTGCCATGGAAGTTTTGTTTTTAAGTTTTTTTTTAAATTTTTACCTATGAAGCTTTTTTTTTTCCTTTTTTAATATTTTTTAAAAATTTTTATTAGTGAGACACCATGAGGTACAGTTGTAGACTTACAAATTTTGTGCTTGGGTTTCAATTATACAATGATCAAATACCCATCTCTCCACCAGTGCCCATTTCCCACCACCACGGATCCCAGCATCCCTCCCACCCCCAACCCCCCCATCCCACCCTGCCTCTGTGGCAGGGCATTCCCCCTCTGTTCTCTCTCTCCTTTTGGGTGTTGTGGTTTGCAAAAGAGGCATTGAGTGGCAATCATGTTTGGTCTATAGTCTACTTTCAGCATGCAGAAGCCCCTTTTGAATGCAGTGCTCACACCTTCTGTCAGCGCTCGGGAAATGTGATTATTTGTTTAAGAATTCCATTTCTCGTTGCTCTCTCGGATCTTCCTTAGCAGCTACTAGAGGTCGCAAGTGGGTTTGTGGGCCAAGTCCCTCCCCGTCCCCCACTGTCCCTCTCCACAACCGTCTGCTTCGTTGCCAGCTCAGCAGCCGCCCCCCGCCCCCCTCCCCCCGCCCCGTGACTGGGTCCCATCTGCTGAGCTGATTTTCACAGCCCTATGCTGTCAGGGTTTTGCATTTCATAATTTATTTGAGGGCGAAGGCAGGGGGTGTGGACCACACCCAGCGATACTCAGGCATCATTCCTGGCTCTGCACTCAGGGATCACTCCTGGTGGGGTTTGGGGGGACCATATGGGATGCCAGGGAGGGAACCCGAGTTGGCTGCATGCAAGGCCAGTGCCCTACCCGCTGTTCTGTCATTCCAGTTCCCCGCATTGGGCATTTTATCTCATTTTGGGGCACACACACAGCAGTGCTCAGGACTTACTCCTCTGCCTCTGTGCTCAAGGATCACTCCTGGAAAGGTTGGGATAATATGGGATGGGGATCGAACCCGGGACAGCCTTGTCCAGAGCAGACACTCTATGACTGTACTCTCACTCCAGCCCCTTCCTGGGCACTTTTTTTGTTTTCTTTTTAGGGCCACACCCATTAGTGCTCAGGGCTTACTCCTGGCTCTGTGCTCAGGGCTCACTTTTGGAGGGGGCCTTACGGTTTTTCGGTGATTAAACCTGGATCTCTGCCATATGCCAGGCAAGCGCACCCCCCCCCCCCCCCGTACTACCACTCTGGCCCATCTGGGCATTTTTAAGGAGGATATTATGGAGTTTTGCTTTTTATGTGTTTTTTTGGGGGGGGGGTCACACCCAGCAATGCTCAGGATTACTCCTGGCTCTGCACTCAGGAATTACTCCTGCCAGTGCTCAGGGGACCATATGGGATGCCGGGGATTGAACCTGGGTTGGCTGCGTGCAAGGCAAACGCCCTACCCTCTGTGCTATCACTCCGGCCCCATGTGTTTTAGTTTTATTTCTGAGGGTGGAGAAGGCAGGGACTGCCAACCCCAACATCTTTTTGAGGACTCGGGATATTACTTTGAGATTTTTAGTTTCTTGGTCTGTGGGTGCAGAGAGTTGTACGGGGTACGGGCTTCTCTGCTGCCTTGATCCCTGCCCCACAGCCCCGTCCCCTCTGGGGCCTTCTGCCTCTTCCTGCCCCTGAGGGACTCTCTGAGTACCCGGCCACTCCCTATCAGTTGGTGGCTCCCCACTGGCCCCCTCAGCCTTTTCCTGGCTCCCCCCACCTGGGTTACTCTCCCCTGCACAGCTCCTGGGTGTTCTGCTTTGACCTCCAGCTTCCTGTGCTCATCATGGGGCGAACCCTCATCCCTGTTCTCTCTCTGTGTTGGGGTGCAGTGGTTCCTCCTCCGCCTTCCCCACCAGAGTGGGGTTCCGGGGGTCTTTGTGATGAAAATGAAGCCACAGTTGGTTCGCCGTGGGGAGTGGGTCCTTTCTGCCCCCTCGGGTCCGGAAGGACTCAGTGGACCATCAGAACAAACCCCCAGGCTTGGAGCAGGGCCCTCCTCGGCTATCCTGTCTGGATCTTCAGGAACATTCCAGGCTCATGTGACCGTTGTTGTCCCCACAGGCACTGGTGCCATCACACGGTGACAAGGACCGTGTCCTGCCAGGTGCAGAACGGCTCGGAGACAGTCGTCCAGCGCGTGTACCAGAGCTGCCGGTGGCCGGGGCCCTGTGCCAACCTCGTGAGGTAAAGGCAGCAGGGCTGGTGGCTTCAGTCCTTTCCTCCTGTTCCCACATCCACGGAGCTCAGCCCTCCTTGCAAGGGGTGGCGGGTGGCACAGACACGAGCGTAGGGGCACGCATACGCTAGTGGCAGAACGTCCCCATACGGTGGGCGTTGGTTGGGCAGAAACCCATAAGGGGCAATGAGTGGGGCGGGGGGGGGGGGGAGGAGAGTCTGGGAAGGGAAGGGAAGGCTGAAAAAGGAGCCAGCCACGCGTGGGTCTCCAGAAGACCTTACTCATATGCAGGTGTAAAGAAGAGATGAGACAATCCCTAATGGAATCAGCCCTGAGATATGGTCTAGAGAAATATGATCGGGGCTGGAGCTACAGGACAGTGGGGAGGGCCTTCCCTCGAACACAACTAACCCTGGCTCTATCCCGGCATCCCACATGGTCGCCTGAGCACGGCCAGGAGTGGTTCCTGAGTGCAGAGTCAGGAGTGACCCCTGAGCATCGCCGGGTGTGACCCCTCCCCCACAAAAGAAAAGAAATGTGATTGGGGGCGTCCTAAAAGGCCTTGAGGGGAAGAGGCCTTGGAGAGGGAGCTGGTATTCTGGGAGTGGGCACGGTGTTGCAGCCCCGCAGCTGTAAAACGATAGTATTGGTATTATTGCAAAGAAGACATATAAGTAAAGAAATAACCCAGATTTTTTGTTAATGTGGGCTGGAGCGATAGCACAGCGGTAGGGCGTATGTCTTGCACGCAGCTGGTCCGGCCGAGCCGGGTTCAATTCCTCTGCCCCTCTCGGAGAGCCCGGCAAGCTACCAAGAGTATCTCACCCGCAGGACAAAGCCTGGCAAGCTACCCGTGAGGTATTCAATATGCCAAACACAGTAACAACAAGTCTCACCATGGAGACATTACTGGACCCGCTTGAGCAAATCAATGAGCAAGGGGAGGACAGTGCTACAGTGGACTCCGTGGATGCTCTTGGAAATCTAACGGGCCTCAGCCCCGCCCGCCACAGCCCCCGATCCTCACAAACTCCACCCACCTCACTGAGGCCCCGCCCCTAGTGCGACCACGCCCCAGCCCGCCCATCACGTGACCATGCACACACGCCTGACCCACCGTGGCCACGCCCGCCAGCCCCACCCTAGAAAGCCACGCCCCTGCAGACCACGCCCATCAACCACGCCCCCGCAAAGCCCCGCCCTCTTGTCTGTTGCAATCTCACCCTAAAGGGTTCCTGCAACTCCTCAGCTGTCACTGTACACCCAGTGCTCCTGCCTCTCTTCAAAGCGCCGCCTTCTCTCGCGCCCCTTCCCACCTCACCTGCCTTGCTTCCTGTGAATTCCACGGTCGGTCTCGGTCTGGGAGCAGCCTCGGTGCTCAAGGAGCACTTTCTGCCCCTTCTCCATGGAACACGCTTGCGGGGGGCACTGGCTTAGTCGGCATTCCCCGGAGCAAGTGGCCTGGCAGAACGCGTGTGTGCAGATTCTGGGGCTTCAGGAGTCGGACCTGGCGTTCGCGGGGCTGCAAGGGCAGAATCTGCAGAGCAGGCTGAGCGGCCGTAGACCCCGGCAGGAATCCCCGGGCAGCGCCAGCCAGGAGTGGAATTCCATCCTCCTCGGGGCAGGCCGTCTCTTCCTGGAGACCTCGGTGGGCGGTTCCGATGGCTGGAACGAGGCCCACACATCGAGGCCCACACTTCGTGGCGTGTGATCCACTGCCCCAGGCCGGCTCATGGGAAGGCTGACTGCGCATTCCTGCTGGCGCAAACCAGGGTGAATCTTCCCGGGGCTCCTGGTTGGTGTTTCACTGCCCCGGTGCCCACAGGGCTGCTCTGCAGCTTGGCGTATGCCCAGCGTGACCGCAGGATGTGGGGTGGGCACAGGCGAGGCCCAGATCCAGGTCGGGGCCATTCGGAGGGGCTGGGAGAATGTTTGTTGGTTTTTTAGATTGTTCTATCCTTGGTTGGCGCTGCTGTTACTCTGAAGAAAGTGGTCCATGGCTGCTGCAGAGAGACATCCATAGAGAAGATGAGCGCTGACTGCCAAGAAGCCTTTGTCATTGAAGGGTGACTCTAGACATTCTTCTCCATGAATGCGTGCATAGGGCAAGAAAACATTTTTTGTTCGGCCGACCCTGGTTCGGTACTCCACGGTCCAGTTCTCTGTCCCTCTGGGAGAGCCGGCAAGCTACGAGAGTATCCCACCCACACAGCAGAGCCTGGCAAGCTTCCCGTGGGATATTCAATATGCCAAAAAACAGTAACAACAAGTCTCACAATGGAGACGTTACTGGTGCCCGCTCGAGCAAATCAATGAACAATGGGAGGACAGTGCTACAGTGCTACAGTTTTTTTGCTTTGGGAAATCACTCTTACTCGGCGCTCTGTGCTCAGGGATCACTCCTGTTAGTATTGAGGGTGACTCTGCACAAGGAGAGGAAGGACCGGGGCTTGGGGTAAGGTCCTCGGGGGTGAAGGCACCATTGCATTTGCCTGAAACCTCGTGGGGAAGGAAGAGGCTGCTGTCATGGGATGGGGGCCACAGGGAACCCTCCGCTGCCCGTTCCTGTGATTTCTGCGGGAAGAGTTTTTGCTCCGAGACTCAAGGAGTGATTCTCTCTGTGGCACTTGGCTCTCGTTGCTTCTATGTCCGTCACCCCTCTTGTTGTGTGTTTAGTTTTCCAGCCTCGAGCATGGGTGCATGTATACGAGGAATGGGATGAGTCCCGCTTTGGAAGCAAAGAAATCAGCTCTCTGACTTTGAGTGAGTCCCTCACCCACTCGGAGCCTTCTTTGTAAACCCCCCATGGTAGAGGAATCCCTGAGACTGCGAAGTGGCCACAGATATAGTACAGTGGGGAGGTCGCTTGTCTTACACGCCGTCAACCTGGATTCAAGCCCCAGCACCCTATAGGTCCCCCAAGCCCACCAGGAGTAATCCCTGAGTGCAGAGCCAGGAGTAACCCCTGTTTTTTTCTTTTTGGGTTATATCCGGCGATGCACAGGGGTTACTCCTGGCTCTGCACTCAGGAATTGTGCCTGGCGGTGCTCAGGAGACCATGTGGGATATTGAGAATCGAACCCGGGTCAGCCGCTTGCAAGGCAAACGCCCTACCCGCTGTGCTATCATTCCAGCTCGCCAGGAGTAACCCTTAAGCATTGAGCATTGCCAGGTGTGTCCGGGTGCCCCCTTGCCCCCCTAACAAACAAACAAGAAAACAAGTGTCTCTCCATGGTCTCTGATACGAAAACAGGGTGCCCAGGGTCATATGAATTAATTTAGGAAGAACCCTCAAACCAAACCACTCATTTCCAGAGAGTCCCCGCTCCCCCTTCACAGCGCCCCCAGTGATGTCTGGGGGGCCCCATTTTTGGCCGCCTTGACAGCGCTCGGTGTTGTCACTACTTTTTATTTAGCCATTCGTTGTGGTTTTAATTTGTGTTTCCCCGATGGCTCCTAATGTGGAGTGTCTTCCCCAGGCTGGGCTGCAGCTGTTTATCATCCCTGTTGAAATGTCTCATCCCCTCCCGGCCCACTCTCCAACCGGCCTCTTTGTTTTCTTGCTGTTCAGTCTCCAGCTTTCTTTGGTCCAGATACAATCCATTGTCCGTTACGTTCCGTGGTTTCCAAATAGCTTCTCCCTGGCTGTGGTTTCTCTTTTCATCTCTGTATTTACAGAACCGGCGTTTTTTTCAGGCTTTGATGAAGTCCCATTGATAGTTTTCTCTTTTCTGAATCTTGTGTTTCTTAGCGAGTCTGAGCCTTTGATCCTCAAGGATCCTTTTTCCTATGGTTTTTCTCCGCCCGTCCCCCCCCCCCCCAATGTTTTATAGCTTTATGTTTGGCACTTGAGTCCATGATGCATGCTGAGTTCATCTTTTCTGGAGCTGTTAGACTTAGGTTGATTATTGCTGGGTTTTGCCTATGGCTGTCTTACCCCTTGCTTTACCATGTGCTCCTTCCCTGAGCTGCTTCCGAAGTGCTGTTCCCAGCTCTGGAGGCGAGTTGATGTAGGTCTGAGTTCTCCACTCCGTGGCACCCCTGTCCCACCATAACGACGGTCTTGATTGCTGTAGCTGACACAGTAAGACTCAAACCGCGAGGACTGAGTCTTCCTACTTTTTTCAAAGTTCTTTTGGGGGGCTGGAGCGATAGTACAGCAGGTAGGGTGTTTGCCTTGCATGCGGCCGACCCGGGTTCGATTCCCAGCATCCCACATGGTCCCCAGAGCACTGCCAGGAGTAATTCCTGAGTGCAAAGCCAGGGGTAACCCCTGAGCATCGCCGGGTGTGACGCAAAAAAAGCAGGAAAAAAACCCCAAACCAACAAAGTTGTTTTGACCCTTTGTTATTTATTTTTTTTTAAGAGAAAGTTCAGAATAGTTTTGTCTTCGTTTGTTTAGAATCGTGGCAGTATTTTGATAGGAATTATATTTAACCTTTATATCTTTGGGAGAATTGGCATATTTATTGTCTTGAGTAGGACTATGTAGGACTACTATGGTATTTATATTCATTTATTTAGGGTTTTATGTTTATTTTTGTGTTTGGGCCACACCTAGTGGTGCTCGGGGGTTACTCCTGACTCACTCCTGGAATCTCCTGGAATCATGGTGGTGCTCAGGGGACCATATAGGATGCTGGAGATCGAACCTGGGTTGGCCATGTACTAAGCAAACACCCTTCCCACTGTACTATAGCTCCAGCTCCAAGGGGGTCGGGAATTGTTTTTAACATGTAAAACATGTTGGTTTTTTGTTTGTTTTTGGGCCACATCTGGTGGTGCTCTCAGGGGTTACTCCTGGCTTTGCATTCAGGAATCACTCCTGGTGGTGCTTGGAGGACCTTATGGGGTGCTGGGGATTGAACCCTGGTCAGCCATGTGTAAATCAAGCGTCCTCCCTCCTGTTCTATCTTTCTGGCTCCCTTGGTTTCTTGTATTTGTGAGTGTTTGTCAAGAATATTTTTCCTTGTTAAATTGTGGGGGGTTGGGGACACACCTGCTCAGG